AGGTGGCCCAGCCTCCAAGGAGAGGGACACCCGCCTGCTCCTGCTGTGCAGAACCCCCACTGAGTTTACACGCTCACATTGTCAACGCTAGGTCTGGGGGGGGGGCATGTGCGAGTGGTTGCCCTGCAAGTGTGAGTGCACGTCTGTGTCCGTCTCCGTGGCTGCTGTGGGGATCCGGGAGGGAGGCCTGCGGCTCCTCCCCGCAGGGCAGGCTGTGTGGCTGAGCAAGCAGTGAACGGTTCCCCCCCTGCAGTCCACACCTGGACCCAGCCCTTCTTTCCCTCCTGCAGTCTCCACGGCTGGCTGGCTGCCCGCTGAGGCTGCAGCGAACAGCTGACTTCTTGCTCCCCAGAGGCAGGGGGGAGGCTGAGGGCCCCTTCGGGCCGGGAACAAGGCACTGTGGGACTTGGGTTGTGCTCGCAACCTAGAGAGACAAGAGGAGGGAAGCTCCCAGGGGTGGAGGCCGTGGTCCTGGCCACTGTCACCTGCTAGAGCGCACAGGCCCCTCCCAGCGGCACGGCTGCTCCCTGCGATCCAGCAGGGAGGAGGCCTGACAGAGCCCGGGCTCGGCCGCCCATGCCAGCCTCTGCCCAGGTTTCTGCCGAGGCTTTGAACAAATCCTCCCAGGAGTCTTGGGGCCTCTATCTCATTGTCGTCGGTCATGAGTGGTCAAGACCAGGGAACTGAAGGGCTGGCCGAGTGCTCCAGCCCAGAGACAGCCTGCTTCTCCAAGGCCACCTCCTGGATGAGGACCTCCTGTGCTGGACGCCAGGGTCATCTGGGCCCCTCCTGGCCAGCGACTCGCTCCTGCTCACCCCTACCTGGTCCAGCAGGTCCAAGGCCATCCGTCTGTACTCATCGCTAAGCCAGGCCGCCCAGGAGCGGCAGCCCCGCCTCACGCTCACCGCGGCTCCACCACAGCAGGAGAGCTTGGCCACCCGAGCTCCACAGGAGGGGAGGACAGCGAATCTCCTCTACCCCACGGCAAGTGGAGCCTGCCGTGGGCAGCCAGCACTCCTGTGTGAGTCTACCGTGTCTGCTCAGTTTAAAAAGAGAAAACGGCCCCTGAGCTGTCCCGCAGATACAAGGGGAAGGACAGGCTGGTGGGCGAGGGCAGAGGCTGCCAGGACTAAGCGAGTTCACAGGAGGCCAGTGCTGATCCTGATCTGTGTCTGTGTCACCTTTCCCAGGTCCAGCCCTGAGCCCCGGAGGCAGGGAAGCGGCTGGGCCTCTTGCACTGCTTCGTCTCCAAAATAAACTACTGAAATCAAACTGCATTTCACATGTATTTACAAACAAACATCACTCCCTCTCTTCTGTTGACCGTCTTCAGAAAGATGTTCAGTGAAACCAGTCTACCTTTTAATAATAATAAAAATCCTAGGGGCTGGGAAGGTGGCTCAGTGGTAGAGCGCTTGCCTTGCATGCATGAGGCCCTCAGCACCACATAAGCAGAAAAAGCCAGAAGTGGTTCTATGGCTCAAAGTGGTAGAGCACTAGCCTTGAGCTGAAGAGCTGAGGGGCAGTGCCCAGACCCAGAGTTCAGGCACCATGACTGGCGAATAAGAAATCCTAGCTGCTCAGTGGGCTGAGATCCAAAGGATCCCAATTCAGGACTAGCCTGGGCAGGAACTAGCAAAAAAACTGGGCTGGAGGCATGACTCAAGTGGCAGAACACCAGCTGAGGACCTGAGATCAAGTCCCAGATAAATTACAATCCCGGTCTACCCAAAAGCAGTCGGGCTTTGGTGTGATCCAGGTGCTTATTCCTTAGTGGCTTATTACTTACTGTCAGGTCTTACCAATGTGGCATTTAACTCAGGCCTGCACAGTGGTGATGGATGGCAGTCACATTTTCTAGGGTGGAAATCAGGATGAATTTGTGCCTTGCAGAGGCCTGGTGGCTATGAGGCCCTGTCCAGAAAGCAGAACGAAGTATCAGCTGCCCATTGGGGGAGATTTAAGTAGTCAGAAGGAGAGAAGCCTGCCTTCTGAATGTCCATCTGTCCCCAGACATCAGCCACGGTTGGCATCCCCAGGGCCTCCGTGGGCACTGTGCCTGGTTGAGGTCTGCTCAGGTGTGGCCGTGCTGCCTCTGGTTGGAGCCACCTCCATGGCCCCACTGGGTCACTTGCTTCTGCTCCATGGCCTGGCCCTGCATGTTCAGTGGGTGTGACGGCTGAGGCGGTCCAGGGGCTCACGTTCTCCTACGCCTTGGGCCTAGTCAGGATCCCTTGCAGCCCTGCCTGGGGACAGAGGTGGGTTCCCTTCTGCTCCAGGAGACGTGAGTATCAGCCATCTGCGGCTGTCCTCACCCAGAGAGCCAAGGAAGGAGGAGTCCACCCTGTGCCAGGCTCTTTTCTGCTGGTGTCATGGAAGGGTCTGGATTTGCTGTAGCAAACTGACAGCTGCTCTGATGTCACCAGTGTCACTTCTGGAAGTCAGATGCTGCCAAAGCCTCTGGTGGTTACAGGGGTCACCCTGCACGTGGGCCTGCTGGCCTGCCTTTAATCCTGCCAGTGAGGGAGAAAACGACCTTGAGCAAGCCTGGCGTGCCCCAGAGACCTGCCGAGTGGGCTTCAGAGCAACCCCAAACACCGTGGCCCGAAGCTGGATTCCTGCCAGCTGAGGAAAGTTCCCATTGTCTGCTAGCACGCTGTGTCCTTTGTCCAGCTTGGAACACTGCTCCTCGGCTCTTCGATCATGACACAGGCTGTCTGGCCACAGCCATCGAGGCCCTCGCTGATGTCCCTGGGGCTTGCGTCTGCCCTCCCCCTGTTCCCTAGAAACAGAGCATGGCTCTGTGGATCGCCACAGCCCCTCCTCTTCCCTGAACCTTGGCTTGCTCTCCCTGAGGCTCCGGCTGGGCCCTGTGCTGGGTTGTGCCCAGCGAGGGTCTCCAGCACAGGCTACCATGGAGGCAGACGGGTGCAGCGGCCTCATCCAGGGTACTGGAGGCCAGGGAGCCCCAGCATCCTCGATGCTCTGCTTCCTGCACCTGCTGCCAGCTGTGCTCATCTGCCCCCGCCCCCGAATAGAAGATGGAGCAGGGCTTCTCCCACGGTGCACCCCTCCTGAGGGGGGTCTGTAGCTATGGGGTCGTGAAGTGGATGTCCCATAAGCTGCAAAGGACAGCTAGTTTCCATGGGGGCCCGGCCTCGGCTGCTCCGGCCCTCTGCTGATTGTGGCCAGCAGCTGGAGTCTGCCAGAAATGAGACCTTGTGGCTTGGAGAGCCTGGCCCAGGGTGTGCGGAGCTCACCGCCCGCAGGCTGGCCGGACAACCTGCTTAAGGAGGACTTCACCAGACTGCCCACTAGTTCGACTCCACCCTGTCCTGTTCAGTCTCTCCCAGAATTCCATGCTGATTGTATTTCATCTACTTCCATGCATGTGTAAGTGATGCCACAGGCGGTCTAAAGCCATGGCCCTGTCCTCAGCTTTGGAGGAGTCACATGTTTGCTCCATGTACTTAGGATAACTCAGGCGGCTGTCTCTGCGGTGGCTGTTTGGGGGATGAGGGGTACCTGTGTTATTTACCAACTCGTCTTAGAGGAGGACGGCCTGCAGCTTAGCGCAGCCTCACTGCTTGCAGTATTGGTTGTTCTGGAGCTGCTGGGGGTGGGGTGGGGACTAAACCTGCCTGTGTGAAAGGTGAAGAAATAAGCACCTTACAGCCGAGCCCTGGAGGCTCACACCTGTAATCCTAGCTAACTCAGGAGGCTGAGATCTGAGGATCCCCATGTGAAGCTGGCTGGGGTAGGAAAGTCCATGAGACTCTTACCTCCAAATAACCAGCCAACAGCCAGAAGTGGATGTATGGCGGAGGTGACGGGACCAGCCTTGAGCAAAAAAGCCACTTAAGTTCAAGTTCCAGTGCAGGTACAAAAGTAAACACACTCCGTACGACACCTTTATCGTAATAATAAATGAAAATTGACTTCCAGCAATGGGCAGCCGTTGGGAGGGACTGCAGCAGGAGGCAGCCGGCCTCATCTGCGAGGCCCAGGCTGCAATCCCTAAACTGGTCTCCTACCAGAGCACTGGTTTTCTAGGGCCGTGCCTCTTTCACCTGCTAGGGAGAGGTAGCAAGTATTATTCCCATTCCCTAGTTGAGGAAATTGAGGCTCTGAGAGCCTCAAGAAGGCCTGCAAGGCCCTTCAACGGAGAATGGCTGGGCAGGCCTCCAGCTCCAGCCTACCTGCTCACACCACGCACCAGGCAGGACCTGGACTCTCGGGAACTTGATTCTCAAATCCCATCGGGCCCTGCCCGGCTCTGTCTGCATCCCCAGGGGGTGGCAGGCCTCTGCTCCTGCCCACGATGCTCATGCGGACCCGGGCCAGAAGTACCAGGCAGGCAGCCGCCAAGGCTGAGACCTAGCCACGCATCATTCTCCCCACTGCCGGGGGTGGGGGGTGGGGGAAGTCATCCTCTTCATCTTGATTTTAGCTGAGAGGCACTGGCCAGGAATATCAGCCCCAGGCTGTCCTCTGAACCCCCTGAGCCCCCTGGACCCCCTGGTCCAGGCTGCAGCCAGCCCAGGGAGCCTGCGAGGTGCAGGCTCTGAGCGCCTGGCTGAGAACACGGCTCGTGCGGCTGCTTTGGCCGGTGAGGACCCAGGCTCTCCCACGGAGGGGAGGGAAAACACACGCAAGGCTCGTGTCAGGAAAGCCAGGGCAGGCCTGGGCCCGGCCCCCGGCTGGCACTGTTCTGCCAGTCTCGCGGAGGGCCAGGCAGGGTCAGTGTCTGCTGAAGCTGTACCAGCCCAGCTCCCACATGGCTGGAACGAAGAGAAGGTGCAGCAGAGGCCTGTTCCCACGCTGCCACCCACCAGGACAGGCTGGTCCCCCATCCTACAGAGGAGGAAATGGGGGCTCAAGGTCAAAGCCACCTGTGGTTAGGTGGCTGAAAGGCGTTCCTCGGAAAGCCAGCGCCTCCACCCGCCCAGAGTGAAGGGGAGAAAAACTCCAAGAGAAACGAGAGCCCAGACAGAGCACATTTATTCTTCCTTAGATCAACTTCATCTGGAATATGTTGCAGTTGGAAAGTTCTCAGCTGTCACCCAAAGATCAGAAGTTATTGCAGTTGTGTCCACTGGATTAGAAGATTGAAAGGAAACTTCTAGAAAGCTGCCTGTGTTAAGAGGAGTGATCCAGATTGGAGGTGGAGGCCCCCTTGCAGGGGCGTCCAGGGCAGGCGCTGAGGTCAGAGGGGAGCGAAGGGCAGCGGGCTGGCCAGGGGAGGGCCCGCAGAGGGGGCAGCAGGGCCAGGGCCGTGGGGCCCCTCCGGCCGGCGCCTCAGCCCTGCCGCAGCGCCTGCAGTTGGTGGGCCACCTTCTCCAGCTCTGCCTCGATGGCCGACAGGCTCTCCAGTTCTTGGTCCTAGGAGAGAGGAGTGAGGATCACCTTGGAGGCCGACGGTGCCAGGGCACGGAGGGGAGGGAGGGCCGGCCGGCACGTCAGCTGTGGGGCTGTGACGGGGCGCTGCCCCTCTCAGCCAGCCATCTCGTGTCTAGAGGCAGCGCGGCCACTGCGAGGCTGTGGGAGGACTGGGTGCGGGGTGGGGCAGGGCCTGACCACGCTCACCCCAGCCTCTTCCTCAGCCCGCATTGCCTCCTGGTTCTTGACAACGCGAATATGGGGGAAAAACAACACTGCTGCCTCCCTGGCTCGTTCCCCAGGGAAGGTTCCAGGGCGCAGCGGGCTGGGGGCGGGGCAGAAGGCTGGCCGCCATACTTGCAGGAACCTCAGGACTACAGCACAGGCTAGCTGTTGGGCCTTCATCCTTGGGACCCCAACCCTTTGCTGCAAAGGTGGTCAGGGGAGCAGGGGACCCCCTCCCCCCAGCCTTGCTCTGTGACCCAGGCCCCCGGACACTTGACACATGAGAATGGACGAGAGAGTTGAAGGAGGCCACCTCCTGTCTTCTACCTGCATTCCAGGCAGTCCAGCAGGGCGGGATGCTGGTGGCCTGGGAGCTGCGGGCTCCAGGGCCTCCCTGCTGGCCCTCGGGCATGGGGAGGGGCACCCACAAGCCTGGGGTCCCCCTTTCACCATTTGCCACCTAGACTCCCTCTGCCTGTGAGAAAGAAAGCTGCAGCTGCACGGGTACCTTGCTCCCCGTTGGCCTGTGCCCATCCCCTGGGCCGAGCCCTGGGCCGGGTTCTTGGAAGCCCATGTGTTCCAACCATAATAAGGAGGTGAGTAGAAAAGACTCTGTACCCCTATTTCACAAATTGGGGAAAACTAGGGGCTGGGAAGGTGGCTTAGGGGTAGAGTGCACATGAATCCCTGGGTTCGAATCCTCAGGACCACATACACAGAAAAAGCTGAAAGTGGTGCTGTGGTTCAGGCCCTAAGTTCAAGCCCTAGGACTGGCAAAAACAAATGGGGGGGGGGGACTAATATGGCTCAGAGAGGGACAATGACATGCCCCATGTCACACAGCCAAGAGCAGACAGTGGTGGCCCCTGCCCGCGCACAGGGGCCAGGGCCAGCGGGCCTCCCTGTTGCTATGGGGGGATGGCTGCAGGAGTGAATCTGGAAAGAGGCACGGAGGCTCCCTGGGGACCAGGCGGCCATGGACACCGACCAAAGTCTCCCTAGGTCATGACTGTCCCTTGCCGCCCCCCCTTCTCCTGGCCTTAAGTGCTCAGGGCCATGGGTGCCCTGGACCCCCAGGTCCATCTTGCCACGTGGTGTCCACGCAAAGCACGTGTCCCCACACGCCCCGCCCTGCTGTCACCCACAGAGGCTCGTGTAGCGTGGCGAGCACTGCCCCGGGCGCCCCGGCCTCGGAGGGCCTCCCGCCCGGCACACCCCAGCCGTGCACCGGCCCCACCGAGACCCGGCGCAGAGCCCCTGCCGCCCCACCTCGGCTCTGCGGTTGGCGCTGCCCTCCTCCTCCTTCTTCTCCTCGCCGCTGTCGTCCCGGGAGGGCGGCCGCCAGCCCCGCCGCAGCTGAGGCCCGGGGAAGCCGGGGGCCCGGGCCCGGAAGGAGAGCCTCATGGAGCGGTCGGGGTCGTCGTCCTCGGCCGGCCGCTCCGGCCGCTGGTCCGCCCTCAGCTCCTTGGCCAGCTGGTCCATCCTGCTCCATCGCTTGGCGTCCTCCCACTCCCCGGGGAGCCGCGGGCCGCTCTGCCCGCCCTGGAAGAGGCCTCGAGGGGCCCCGGCCATCTCCTCCTCCTCCTCCTCGTCCTCCATCACCCGCTGCTCTCCCTGCCCCGTGGGGCCCCGGGCCTGCTCTGCCCCCGGCTTCCCAGCGCCATCCGTGGCCAGCGCGTCCTGCCCACCTGCAGCAGCGGGGGACAAGACCCAAGAAAGGGGGTGCTGCCGCTTCCCCACGACTCTGCCGTCCCTGGGGACTTGGCATGTTTCCTCCCCCCGGGGCCAGCCAGTCACCCCCACAACGGGTCCACTTGGAATAGAACCGTCTTGAACCTCTCAAAGCTCAAAGGGACGGGTTGGCCTCTGGCCCGCTCACCCCTGGAGCTCTGACGCAGCTTAGCGTGCCCCCCCCATCAGCCTGCTCCCCACCCATGTGCTGTTACTTTCTTGCCTCCCAGGTCGGGAGGTACTGTGAGAAAGAGTGGGCGGTGCACGGCCTGGAGTCAGGCAGCCAGGGGAGGAAGTCGCTTTACTACAAAGGAGCTGTGTGGCCTTGGACAGGTTAACTAACCTCTCTGAGCCTCAGCTTGCCCTCTGGAAGATGGACCGGATGGCCATGTTTCAGAATTGGTATGAAGGCAGAGTGAGATCACGGAATGAGGTCTCCTCCCATCCATGTTGTGGGGGGGGGAGTGCGGGGGTCCCCGTCACCATACATGCTCTCACCTTTCTGGATGTTCTTGGAGCCCAGGCTGGGGTGGGAGTCAAACGCTGCAGTGGGGTCTTCATCCTCAGCGGCTGCCTTCTCCTCGGCCTCGGCCCCCTCCTCCTCCTCCTCCTCCCGGTGTGGGGCCTCTGCCTGCGGCCTCTGCTCCGGGCTCAGGGCCCGCTCTCCCTCGCCCGGGCCCTGTGAGGGGTCCTCCCGGCTCCCCGCGGGGAGGCTGGCTGGTGCCCGGGGGCTGGGGCCCTGGCTGTCCTCGGCAGCCTGGGACTCCTGCCCGGGCTCTGGGGAGGCTGGGGGCTCGGCCTCCTGGGTGGCCCCGCCGGGCTTCGGCTCGGCTGCGTCCTCTCTCGTCTGCTCGGCATCCCCCGGGGCTGCCTCTGTCGTTGTCACCGTCACCGCTGCAGAGAGCGCAGGTGGAGTCAGGCCCTGGGGGCCCGGCCGCCACGGGGCTCCCCAGGCCAGGCTCAGAGTCAGCGCGAGGCTCGGCCTCTGGGAAGTCCAGCCCAGCACAAGCGCTGGGCTCTCTCTTCCTCCTCCGGCCTTGACCAACGCACACCTGTACTGTGTTCCTGTACTTCTGCCTCTTAGAACAAGATGTAACTTAGAAACAGCCAGTGCCCGCGGCTCACGCCTGTCATCCCAGCTACTCAGGAGGCTGAGATTTGAGGATCATGGTTCAAAGCCAGTGTGGGCAGGAGACTCTTATCTCCAACGAACCACTAAGAAGCCTGACATGGAGCTGTGGCTCAGGTGGTAGAGCACTAGCTTTGAGTGAGAAAAGCTCAGAGGCAGAAACAACAACAAAAAAAATCAGACCTTGAAAAAGCACCCCGAACCCTGGCGCAAACTGGAACAAGAGCTGAAGTGCTGTGTGGTTCTGGGCAACGCCTGAACCTCTCTGTGTAAGAGGCGCCATTACTGCACCTCCACGTGGGGCTCTCTGTCCTCAGCATTTGGTGGGCGTGAGCGTGCGCAGCTGCTCGGTATTTTAGATTTTCATTAAAAGAGTTTTAATCGGTTTAGTTTGTTTAGATTTTGTTTTCAGGCAGAGGCTTGAACCCGGGCCTCTTGCTTGCCAGGAAGCACTCTGCAAATTGATCGTTCCAATTTTAGCCCTTTTGAGTGTGCTCTCTGCAGACGGGGTCTCCCTGACTTTCCTCGGGTGGATCCTTCTGCTTTCTTCTCCTGAGTAGCTGGGATTATAGACATGCACAACAGCACCCAGCCTTCTGATGGTTGAACTTGCTGTCACTGAGTGACACAGAGGAGACACTGCCGGACACATGCCACCACCCGTGCCCCACTGCCTGCGCCTTGGCGGGCTGCTCCATGCCACCGCCAGATGTGCAGGAATGTGAGGCCACTGGTCCCCGCAGTGCACCCCCTTGGAGCCTCACGGCTAGCTCCTGGGAACCGTGTCACCCACCAACCTCTGGCACCACAGCGCCAGGCTGCACAGGCGCCATTTGTAGCTTTTCCTAAACAGGAGGACGAGCCGCAGCACCCGCTGGCCAGACGCATGGGCTCTTCCACACGTAGGCCACAGGAACGCAGGGCTCCACCCCAGGGGCTCCAGGAGATGCTGAGATTTTGTATTCACAGCGCCAGCTCGGGGGCAGGGGGGGAGCAGACGAGGCTTCCCAGTGGGACAGGCCCAGATGTAAACCGGGGACTCAACTGTCTGGTCCTATTTCCCCATGGATCAAAGGAAGGAACTGGGGCTGGGAAGGTGGCTTACTGGTAGAGTGCTTGCCTGGTATGCACAGAAAAGGCCCGAAGGTGGCCCTGTGGTTCAAGTGGTAGAGTGCTAGCCTTGAGCTGACGAGCTCAGGGACAGTGCCCAGGTCCTGAGTTCAAGCCCCAGGACTGGCAAAGAAAGAAAAAGAAAAAAAGAAAAAAAAGGGGGGGGGAAATTACAGCAATCTTCCAGGGCCTTGAGTTGTGACCACTTAGCTACATATACATGCATGTGCACGCGCATGCACACAGGCACACACACGCACGCACACATGTGCACTGCACAGGCACACTCTGTCAGCCAGGCTACACCCACCTTGCACCCCAGCTGCGTTGCTGGGGCCTTGGAGCACCTGGGAGAGCTCCTCCTCAAAGCTGCTGGGCCTCTTCTGCTGCTGGGCCCGCTCCTTGGCTCCTGTGGCAGGAGAGGAAGAATGAACGGCGCCTTGGGATAGTCCTGACACGCCTGTCCCCGGGGCTGAGCCCTGCTCCCTGTCTGGGAGCTGGGCGAGGAGCTCCAGGCCTGCCAGGCCCCTTCAAGTCACCTCCCCAGACGCAAGCTTCTCCACTGGGGAAGGAAGAAGGGGAGTGAGCCCTGCCTGGCAGAGCCTCACACAGCAGGAAGGTCTGAGGGGAGCAGAGGGTGCGGGGCAGGAGGGGTGGGTGCAGTGCCCTTGAGACCAGGTTGGCAGCTGGGACCCCTGGGCAGGAGGAAACAGTGACTCTGGTCCTAACGACTCAGCCTTGATCTTGGTTCAGGCCTCAGCGTGGTGGTGGAGGGGGTGGGGTATCAGATTATCAAGCCAGGAAGGAGCTTGGGGGGCGGGGGAGGGGCAGGAACAACAGCAGCAAACCCTCCAACCTAGCCTGCTGCCCACTTCTGCTCGACTGCCCCAACACACACACACTCCATTCCCAACCGCATGTGGGTGAGTGGAAGGTCAGGTGTGGGGGAAGCAGGTAGGGCGCCGCCTCTTCCAATACCCCTGGAGTTGTCAGGAGGGGACAGGGCCCCTCCTCTCCCTGCGATCAAGAGGGAATCCTGTCTGCATTCTCATCTTGAAAACACCTCCCTGGCACCGCAGAGCTCCAGAGGCCCTGGGGCCTTCGGGGAGCTATGTGGGATCCTGGCATTCTCCCGCTCACTGTATGACCTTGGGAAAGTCACCCAACCTCTCTGAGCCAACATCCGTAGCCAGTTGAGCCAGGTGCACGGAGGGCCCCACTTTCTCTCGCAGGTACCTGACAGGAGCCTGCTCCATCTTCCACCCTGGCTTTCTGACTCTGCTACTGGCATCTACCCAGAATCGAGCACAGTGGTGGCAATACCTTGGAGAGCGAGGTCTTGGAGCTCTTTCAGCAAATTCTGGTGTCGCAGGATGGAAAGAATGCGTTCATCTGCAGAGGGACAGACACGGGCCTTTCCAGAGGAGGGCAGAGAGAAATGGGAGGGGAAGGGAAAAGGGTGGGGGAGAGCGCACGCTCCAGGCTTTTTTCTGAACACTCAGTCCTGGAGTGGCACCGTGAGCCTCGGAACGCTTGCCCCTGGGGTCTGTCGCTGTTTTGCAGCCACTGAGCCCCACAGCAGACCTCCAGGAAGGGGCCTCAACGAGGCTCCCTAACAGCCTCCCACCTGCAGGTCTTATTTGAGCTCTGCTCCACCACACAGCCCCCTGCTTCCCCGCACGGCCATCCTCACCCACAGTGTCTGAGCCCAGCTCACATTTGCCTCCCTGCTGGTCAGTGAGATTCAGGGACATGGGAGCTGGCACCCCCCCATCGCCTATGCCCGTCACCCCCAGCAGTGCTGGTCTGGGTTGGTACTTGGTCAGGGTCTGCTGGATTACAGGAGGAAGCCGACTAGCCACGCGCCAATCTCCTGGCCTCCCGGCCCTCCCCGCCACTGGCCCCTACCTCCTTGCAGGGTCTCCAGACACTCGTGGCTGACAGGCTTGGGGCTGGGTTTGGACAGCGAGTCGGAGATGACCTCCACAATGCACCGCATTACCTGGGACGAGAGCAGGGCGGGCTGTGGCTTAGCGATAGTTGCCCTGCACCCCCTCCCCGCTCTGGGCTCATTGGGGCCCCAGTGCAGGAGGGCCAGCAGCACACAGCCAAGTCTTCCTGTAGTCCAGCAAGGTGCTGTGGATAAGCTAGGTGCCCAATAAATGAATCATCACAGAAGATGGCGCCAACTGGATACCATCAGGGAAGATGGTATCCCAGCTGTGTGACTTGGGCAAACCACAACCTCTCTGCACCTCAGTTTCCTCTTTTGTAAAATGGGAGTGGGATATCTTCCCAAATGCCCTCCTAAGGTAATGAGACACCGATGAGAAGACACGCCATAAAGCATGAAGTGTCCACACACACACACACACACACACACAGGGACTCACACCTTCAGACGGCTTCCACAGTGCAGAGCGGGAAGGGAGCAGGACGTGTCAGACATCACCAGGCTGTGCTGGTGGGGAGCGAGGGGGTGGAAGGCTGCCACTGTGGGGTGCCAAGGCAACCAACCGATCCACAGAGCCAGAGTGGCAAACTGGCATACGCTCTCTCTGTGTAGCCCCAGCCTCAGGATGACCCCAGACTGCTGGGCAGGACATGGGGACCAGAGATGCTCCTCTAAAGGACCCGGTAAGCAGCACTCAGCAGCCTGCACCTGGATCTCCTGGCCACCGCACTCCAGCGAGTATCAGATTCTGGGAGACAGGAACTGGAAAGGGGTCCTGAGATAGAGAGATCAGGGGGACCTCCAGGAAAATCAGTGTTGTCAACTAAGGACCTACTATGTGCAAAGCACTCCCCACCCATTGTTCCTTCTCCTCGTGTCTCCCCAGAGGGAAAGGGGAAGCTGGAAGGAACCTTGTTAAGGTTGCACGGCTTAGAATGAGAGGCGGAGGTTTCAATCCTGGCCTGGATGCATTGGTTAAATAGGAAACATCATCAAGCAAATTGAGGCTGAAATCTCTTAGGTGAGCTTTGTTTTTCTTGTTGCCTCCAACAGAAGAAACCACTCTTGGGTTGTCAGAAATCTCTTCGTCACTCAGGTTGGTTCTCTCTCTCGCTCTCTCTCTCACACACACACACACATCCAGAGAGAGAGGAGAGGAGAGAGAGAGAGAGAGAGAGAGGAGAGAGAGAGGAGAGAGGAGTGCCACCGCATGGGAAAACAGCCCTACCTCAGAAGAGAACAAATTCCAGGTGTGTGTCTGGCGTATGTTACCCCCACAGGAGCCGCTAAGAGTATCCTAACCCCCTTTCCCGACTGACTGCATCATCAGGCTCCGACTGTCTGGGACTTAGGGTGAAGGGCTGAAAACTTGGGGGGCAGGGATTATTGCCAGCAGAAACTGGTGGAGAGGCCAGGGGGGAGCCCAGCACCCAGGCAGGATTAGGAACAACCATAGGCAAAGAGTAGCCACCCTTCCTGCCTCTGGAGTGACCGGGACAGCGGCCTGGGCCTGGCCCAGGCAGGTGACAGCCGGGCCCCTTTGGGCTGCAGGCGGAGCTCACGGAAGCCCAGAGAAGTCCACAGGGGGACAGCTCGCGTGTGTGAGAGCTTGTTTTTCAGGCTGGGCGGCCACGCTGGGGCTTTGGCTTTCTGCCAGAGTCACCCCTGCAGCGGCCGAGAACTGGCTGTGAGGTGTCCACGGGAGCCTCCCCCTAACCAGGGACCCCCCACGCCCCTTCTTACCTTGGCATCCCCTTTATTCATAGGGCTGTTCACGGGAAGGGCAGAGACTAGAAGAAAATGACAGGACGGGGGTCAGCGCACGGCGGGGCTCCCCATCCAGCTGTCCCCTGCTGGGAGCTGGCCCTAACCCTGCCCCGTGGGGCACGGGGTGTGAGTCCCAGAGCCCAGCGCGAGGAGAGCAAGGCCGGCGTGCAGCGGGGCGCGGTGGGGACAGAAGGGGGGGACCCCGAGCCGAAGGGGGGAGGACGGGGAGCAGCTCCCCTCTCCCCATGACCTTGGCCGGCCCGGCGCGGGGCCGGTGCTGGCACCGAGTCCGGGCATGGGGGGCCCCCATCCTGCGAGTTTGGGGGGTCGGGGCCCAGCTGCCCAAGCGCTGGGCTCTCTCTTCCTCCTCCGGCCTTGACCAACGCACACCTGTACTGTGTTCCTGTACTTCTGCCTCAGAACAAGATGTAACTTAGAAACAGCCAGTGCCCGCGGCTCACGCCTGTCATCCCAGCTACTCAGGAGGCTGAGATTTGAGGATCATGGTTCAAA